AGAGCCATATGCCAGTTATCAGCTGCCTTCAGAGTCAGACATCAGTCAGGCACACAAACAGCTGGAGCCTGTTCCCAGTGTACACATGCTCAGAGTTGCCAGACGAAGGGAACGGCTAAAGGACAAGGGTCGACTTGGGAGTAAGGCCACAGGTGGAGGATGAATGGCCCATCCCAGAGGAAATAAAAGAGGAGCGAAAGGGGACTTTGCAGGAGACAATTAGTTCGCTTAATTGATTCGTGACTCTCCGAGACTCCTTGCCAAGTTCTGCAGATATCGGCCTGGCAGCTCTCCAAGCCAGAGAAGGTCTGTGACTGCAAATCCTTCCTCAAAAGATTTTGCTGGAGGTGAATGGGCAGAATTCCGAGTCAATTACTAAAAGGGTTTTTTGTCGGGACCAGGAGTTTTCTTCATGCTCTCGGGAAACCTCGGTCAGAACAGCTGCCGCACTGCAAGTGTGCTGAGTCTATGGACGACATCCCCCCCGAAAATAAGACCTGGTACCTTTTTTTGGTGGTTAAAAAAAAGACAGGGTCTTATTTGGGGGGAAACACGGTGGGTCCCAGCTGAGAAGACAAATCCTGAAACGTGGAGCTGTGTTTCCATCCCTTTCTCTTGTAGAACAAACCCCTGCAGTGGTTTCTGGAAGCGTCTCCGTTCAGCCGACTTGGGTCTCCGTGGCAAAACAGAAGCAGCAAGGATTCCAGGATGTGGTGGCAGCAGCCAAGGGGCAGAAAAAGAGGGAGGAAGGCACAGCCAAAAGGGGAAGAGAGGATGCGAAGATTGTAAGTGCATCTCACCTGGAAAAGGTAAAAACACACAGATATCAGAATAACACAGTGCAAGTCTGTCGGTGTGTGGAATGCCAGGGGAATAATGGAGCCCCTCCACTTCAAATAATTCATTTACCGATTGTTTGAAATTACCGTGGGACTGAAAAAAGCAACTTATGACCCTTTTTTCACACTTACGACCATTGCATCATCCCCACTGTCACTTAATCAAAATTTGGACGCGTGTCAATGGACTCGTATTTATGACGGTTGCAGCGTCTCCATGGTCACGTGATCAAATTCAGACACTTGGCAACTGACTCGTAT